CTAGTTTCTAGTACAAAAGTCTTGTCGTACATGAAATAATTATTGACTTAAAGCAAGCTCATATCACTTGTTAAAAGCAGTTACTTTTAAATTAGTACACTTAGAAAACAAAACTAAGTTACTTGATTCTGGTTTCATGCATTTTTTGACCAACTTGTTCCTGGACTTTATTTACTACACTGTAAAAATACAAATCTTTAGCAGGTATTTTTGGTCTAGTTTCCATTACAAATGTCTTACACTTGAAATAAGAAAACTGGCTTATGTAGCTTTTTAGCCAAATATAGGAGTTTGTTTTAAGTCAAGATTCCTTAATGTTGATTTAAAAGTTCTAGTTCCACTGCCAGATTATTTCAGTTGTAGGAAAATGTCTTAAGTTAATCTGCCAATTTTAATCAATATTAGGGAAATATTGGCTTAAAACAAGTTATTTTGATGAAAACCTACTTATAAGTTAGTTTTATCTTTCTTATTTCAAGTTTACTAGAAAGAAAACCAAAAATACTTTAAGGATTTGTGTTTTTGCAGTGCAGCAGTAGCACAAATGAATCAATTCTGTTTTATCTGATTTTATTGACTGCTTAATTTGACTACACTGCAAAAAATGTATCTTGCAAAGTCTAGTTTCTAGTGCAAATATCTTAGTACACTTGAAATTAGACAAAACTAACTTACAAGTAACTTTTCAACAAGATATAGTAGCTTGTTTTAAGTTAACAATCCCTCAATATTAATTAAAAATATTATTTCACTTATACAGTGGAACTAGTTCTTTATCAATATTAAGTAATTACTGACCTTAAGTATTACTTGACCTCCTATATTGCTAAAAAGTTACCTGTATGTTAGTTTTGTCTTATTTCACGTGTACTAAATTAAAGACACTTGGTTTGATTTCGTGTTTTTGCAGTGTGTGTGCCGCCTGAATGAAAGCCCGCTCTGGCTGCCACAAAGACGGGGGTGACTGGAATATTTGTCGTGTTAGTCAGAGGGCAACCTCGTGTTGAAATGCGGATGAATCATGCCTTCCCTCTTCGCTGCGCTTCATTTCATGCACACAGACTCACGGACGGCTGAAAGCGTCCGTCTCCGTCCCGGGAAATGTTTACATTTTTGATGGCTGTGTAACCGTTATCACTGCTCCTGGGAGCGCGCTGGGAGTCGGTATTGGCTCCGATTGTAATAACAGTTACAGCTGAAATGATGCAGGTTATGGCATGCAGGATATTTACTGTTGCCATCTCTCAATAATGGAAGCTCATTCAGCCTAATGAATCAGTCGCTTGCCATTCCAGAGAAGAACAGAATCGCCCTGCGGCTGAGTTCAGCGATGACACCTGAGGTTTAGGCGTCATGTGATCTGGTGTTTGAGGTACAACTAAAATCCTCCTGTCGAGTTTTACAAGAGCTACTGGCAAAAAGAAGCAGCATGTTTTGGATTTTACGTAATTAAACCTCCGTCTGTTTTACCTGGAAGTTCAGCTTCCAGGAAAAACGATGTCAAAACGCAGAAATAACGACATTCTGTGTTTTCATGTTCACTGGAAAAACTCAAAACTTTACCAAGTATTTTTATACTTAAAATATCTTCATACACTTAAAAAATGATAGAAACCAGCTTATAAGTAACTTTTCAGCAAGATATAGCTTTTTTAAGTGAGTAGTTCCTTAATATTCATGAAAAAGTTCTTGCTAAGTGAAATAATCTGCCATTGGAACAAGTACTTTTTTAATTTTAATCAATATTAAGCGATTATTGACTTAAAACAAGCTTCTATTTATTGCTGGGACAAAATTTCTCTTCAGCACAATCCCCCCCCCCCCCACACACACACACAAATATTTTGTATTTTTGGTCTAATTTCTAGTGCAAATATCTTAATCCACTTGAAATAAGACAAAACTAACTTACAAGTAACTATTCAGCAATATATGAGTAAATAATTGCCTGATATTGATTAAAACAAAAAGCACTGGTTCCACTGGCAGATTATTTCACTTACAGCCAGTATTTTTTCATCAATATTAAATAATTATTAACTTAAATTCCTATTTTTAACTGGAAAGCTACCTATAAGTTAGTGTTGCCCTTTTTTAAGTGTACAAAGATATTTGCACTAGAAACTTTACCAAAAGTACTTAAAATCTGCATTTTTTGCAGTGTTGCTGTTAAGGAATTTATTCCCAGTCTTTAGAGTGTTGCTTTAAGTCAAAGGGAGTCCAAAGTTGGTCTGGGGGCCATTCTGTGGCCCTTGAAATGATCCTGTGCGGCCCCCAACCACAAGACACAAATATGACCAATAAAACAGGAAAAAAAGGAAATCTGTAAGAAAAATTCTTAAGAAAACACTCTACTGTGTTTGTTTTTAATATTTTTGTAATACAGTTTAAAAAACAACTTATTTTTGTATTTTTAATTTAAAAAAATAATTCAATTCAGGGCAACTGACAAGAGGAAATAAAGGTCAAGTCATGTCATCCAAGCATCTTCAAAGAGGAGAGATCTCCAGTAGCAGTCAGTTCTGCAACCATTCTGAAGAGATCTCTGACTGAAGACAGTCTCATTACAGTCATGAATGGCAGTTCAACATCAGGCAGCAGAGATTATATTTCATCACAAAATGTCCTGGACGACACAATCAGTTGTTGGGAAGCTCTGCTAATCCACCTCATTTGCTTTTGCTGCGCCTCGTTAAATCTCTGTCAGGTTAGAAAGATGAAGTCTGGGATACGATCCTGACCCTTTGTGATGGATGGATGGAATGGTTTGAATTGCTTTTTCCAAGCAATTCAAACCAAACTATGACCTCCAGGGTTTGGGGTCATAGTTCAAGTATTAATTGAGCTTTTAAGGTGCTAATCAGATCCTTCTGAACAAAACAAACAAAGACACCTTGTTGCCATAGTTACGCATCATAACAGTTATCCTAAAGTAAAAAAGTAGAAGTAAAAATCCTTTCAGCTGCACAGCATCAAAAAATCAGAAGGAATAATTGTACAAAAAAAAAATCAAAGCTTAGATTGTAGAGAGAAAAGTTTCCTTTCTTTCTTTCTGGTGTCTTTCCATCCTCATAAAGCATAAAAGAATATTTACTTACCTTCTTAAGTTTTGTTTGTGTTGTGAAAGGTGCTTTTGTTCACCTAAAAGTATATTTCACATAAATCCTGGTAAAAAGCTAACAATTTTTTTAAAGAAATTCACATTTTGCACGTTTTTGTACTTCCATTTTGGTCTCTGCTGCTTCTGCTTTGTGGTGAACCGTTTCAAAAAACTTCAGAATGTAACGTTGCAAAGTATCAGTAACAGCCCGTTACCTAGCCACAGCAGCGGAACTCTGCCCGTCACCTAGCAACCCAAACTGAGCTCCAGCACATTTGGTCAGCCAGTTTCATCTCTGTAGGCGCTGCATAATGGCTGCTGGAAAAGAGAAATGTTTTATTGTTGACTTACCATCCAGAAACCACTTACTGGATTCTTGTTGGTTGTGCAGGAGGCTCCACTTCTGCTTCTCAGAGTTGTATAGTTTCTCATTTGTTTGCACCCATTTTTACATGCGAGTGTAAACATTGAGCCAACAGCAAATTATTTGGATGTAAAATAACAAGAGGCCCTAAAACTGCTCATTTTGAACCGAGCTGATTAAATGTAATGAAGATGCTTTCTATAGGCTGTAGATCTATCCTAATCTGTTCAAGGAACTACAATAGGTCTCCTTTAAACAGGAAACTTTAGATTTTCAGGGGAAAAAGTAAAAACTCTGAATTAGCAAAACTAATTTATTCTCTCTGGATCTCTTCCGTTGATTTAACGAGTCTGAGTTGAGCACATACCAGATTGTCAGCGTCTCCGTTTGAAGGTCAGTTCCTCATTCTGCAGAACATTCCCCTCCTGGGCTCCACATGAAGAAAAGTGCGATCTCTCTGTTCTCGGTCCTGTTTTTCCACAAGTTCTGCCAAGATTTTAAAGCCATACGTCAGCAGCTGAAGCTCTACAGTCATAAAGCTGAGAGCCGCCAATAAAAACACTCGTTTTACACCCTAATTGGGGCTCTTTGTTTCACTGTCAAAGCTGCCAGAGCCAGCCCAAAGTATATGCGAGTTAAATGGCTGCCTAAGGCCCCCACACCACTAGGGGGCCCCAAAGAGCACCAAGCTAGCATGATACAAATATTTATATTCAAAACAACATTGAATAATACAAACTAAATGATATTACACATGGAAAAACGATTTCTATATTATTTTTATAGTTGTCAACCTTTGGCTACCTAGCAACTCACTCACTCTTTTGTTGCCTAGCAACAACTTGTTCACTAAATTGTAAAGCAGCAGTTTCAGGTTTCGCCACCATTCCTCATTGTTCTTAAATAAATAAATTAATTAAAAAAACAACAGAGTGAAAACTGAGGATAAAACAAGAAAGATCTCGCCACCAGTTTTTACAGTATTTCAGACATTTAAAACCAAAAACAAATCAATAATTATCGGTAGATTGATATGAAATGCTTATGTCAGGACACGTTTTTCAGCCATATCATCCAGCCCTACTTTAAAATACTTAAAATAATGTGGCACACTTAAATACCATTCAGCGTTTCAAAATTATTTACTTTTTTTAGTTTGCTACTCCTGTAAGGTTAAATCATCAGTCATCACAAAATTGGTATAATGTAAGCTAAATACAAATAATGATGACAGTAGCCTGGGAACGACAAAGCATCTGGTGTTGACATGTTGGTGTGGGGGGCCCAAATGAAATCTGCTTAGGGCCCCAAAAAGGCTTTGGTCATCCCTGTCCACAAATTCTTAAAGTTATAATAATACATTAAATGTTTGTAGCACTTTTTCAGAAGCAAAGACACTGATATTGTCTTAGGTGAAGTTTGTGACATTTAGTTTGCAAAAATTAAGTTCTAAGATGTTATATCTAATTATTTTATCTATTATGAAGGGGAGGGAGTCTGAAAGCTGAATTAACGCGTCTCTCCTCTCCTTGCCAGCTGATACGTCCTGGGAGTGATGCACTGGCTTCCCCTGGTTGCCATGGTGATCGCCTCGGCCCTGCCCTTCCCTCACAACCCCGCAACCGCGCAGCCCAGCGAGGATCATAAGCAGACCTCCACGTCCGAAGTGGAGAACCAGATAACCTACAAACCGTTCAGCAGTCCGGACGTTACAGCAGAAGAAGAAGAAGAAGAAGAACCGCTCAGGACCGAGGAAATTTCCCAGGAAAACTCGCTACCAAAGGACTACAAAGCTAGCAGGAAAGATGGCGACTCGGACTCGATGCCGCGCCATTTTAGGACAGGCGCAGCCGAGGACAGCCCCGCCGTAGATGTCGGTTTGGGTCTGGAAATAGACGAAATGTTTCTGGACGCACATCCCCGCGTCCTGTTCTCGCCCTCGCCGTCGCCACCGGAGCATCCGCCGCTTCTACTGATGTTGGAGAACGGGCTAATGGAGGACGACAGCGACGGAGACGTAGAGGGTCACGGTGATCGCGCCGCCGACCGGACCACGCCGACTCCGACATGGGCGGACTACAACAGGGAGCCCGCCGACGAGGCGCACCGCCCGGTGAAACGGGACAAACGTTCACACCTGATAGACACCCGCAGGGGGGAGAAGTCCGTGTGCGAGTCGGAAAGCACGTGGGTCAACAACAAAACCACCGCCATCGACTCGCACGGCGAGCGGGTCACCATCATCCCGCAGATCCAGACAATGACGGGCGCGCTCAAGCAGTACTTTTACGAGACGCGGTGCCGCCGGCCCGACGGGCAGAGCGGCTCGAGCAGGACGCGGGGAGCGGGCGCGAGGTCCGCGGCGGCCGGCGTCGCCGGGGCCAGCTGCCTCGGCGTGGATAAAAAACAATGGCGGAGCGAGTGCAGAGAGAAGCAGTCGTACGTCCGCGCGCTCTCCAAGGACGCCAAGAACAAGATGGGATGGCGGTGGATCCGGATAGACTCGTCCTGCGTCTGCGTGCTGCTGTCCAGAACAAATCAGGGGAAGGACGTGATGACGAGGCGCAGGAGAGTCTAACGCAAGGAAGGAAGACACGTTTGGACGTTCTGTGTCCTTCCTCCATTTTATGACTTTTACAAAAAAAACAAGAAGACCTCAATGCTAAATGATTTTAGGGAAACTGTTATATAGACAGAGGTGGGTAGAGAACAATGGCGCCTTAAGACCAATTAAAAAAGGAGAACATTTCTGGAAATATTGAGAAAACTGAGCATCAAGAGTTGAAAATTTGCAAGAAATGTTTAAAAGCCATCTAAAATTTTCCAGTAAAGAAGGAAATTTCATAATTTGCATCAAATTTTCTAGAAAAAAGATGGAAGTTTGTCAGTGTGAGTAGTTGGAAATTTATCAGAAAAAAAAATCAAATTTTGAGATCTGACAAATTTTCTATAAAAGAATGTGAAATTTCTGAGTTTGAAAAGTCAGAAATGAGGGGGGGGGAGCTGTTTGTGGTCTCAAAATTTTCTAGAAAATGCTTTTCCAAAAGTCAAACATTTTCAACTTTTGAAATTCAGAAATTTCCAATGTTTTATCTAGGATTTTTTTTTAGATTAATCTAAAACTTAGTTTGTTTGGCAGAAATGTACTCCTTTTCCTTATCTAGAATGGCCCTTATACGCCGTTGTAGTAGAGAACCCAAATATTGTGCTCAAGTAAGAGTTGCCCAACTTCAACAAGGGATGCAAACAATTAATAAAATTAGTTCAAATTGATTAAGTCAATCTTGTAGTTTGGCTGTAATCCAGCAGAGGGCGCTGCTGGTCATGCTTAAACTAGCCAGTTGATGCAGAAACAAAGATGGCAGCGTCATGACAGAATGGGAAAGAGAAGCAGTCCAAACAAAGTCATGCAAGATGCACTTTATGCAGTTCTGTTTAGAGATATAAACATTCAACAAACTCCTAAAGTTTTACAATGTTTTTTGTTTTTGATTCAGCACATGATGACAAATTTAGCTCTTCGTGTTATGGAAAGACAGCCAGCCTTCTTCACACAAAAGGAAACTCAGGTTTTTAACAAAATGGCCGCTTATCAACTCATTCATCGATAACATGCATCCCTAAATTAAACATATTTTTACTCAGGTAAAAGTAAAAATGGTCCAAGAAATTACTCAAGAGCAACTGATCAGATCATCTGATTTAATATTAATAATGTGAAGTTGTGTCCAAATTCTGGTATTTTAAAGACTAAAGAGAAAAAATACAGATATCATGATTACAAAATAACAGATTGAGGGAGCAGATGAAGCATTTTTCCAAATAAAAATAAACCTATGGAACTAATACAGTCAAATGTACTTTGTTGGAACAGGGTGAAATATTTCCAGTGCCAAATGCTTCAGCAGGCAGAAAATTAGAAAAACAATTCAGTGAAATTAGCTCAAGAATAGCAATACTTCATAAAATATATCACTCAAGTAAAAGTATATTTTTCAAATAAATGTAAGTAGTTACTACCCACCTCTGTATATAGAGATTTTACACCAAGAAGTACTGTTTTTGTATGATTTATCTTTCATAACCTAAGTTATTTTTGCCTAGTATGTACGCATGTCTTTGATATTAATATATTTCCTGCTGTGTCTACAACATGACACCAGTATACCTTTTCTGTATCGCCGTGTGTATTTATAGAAGACGTCTTCATGCAGTAGTAGCTCTCTCCGGTGTCTGATGATGATTCCAGCCTTTGGGTCGCTGGCCTTGTAAAAGCAAAGAGCGCCACCTACTGAGATTTCATTTCACTGCTCCAAACTCTTACAGCTGTGGGTGAATTTTACAGGATCTGGGTTGTAAATTATGTGACGCCTAAAGAAGATCTGATTACATGATATAATAAAAGACATTTGTATTTTAATATTTTTGAGCACTTTTTAATGATTTTTTTAAATTTAGTTTTCAATGCATTTGTTTTATTTTTAGTGCTTCTTTGCTTATATTTATTATCATTTTTTCTATATATTTTTTTACTTTTAAGTGTTTTCTCTACAAAAATCAGACAACTTTGTTCATGTCATTAAGATTTTGTTTATTTTCAAAACAAGTAAAGCTAAAAAAGGCATAACTTATTTATCCATTTGTTATTGCAGAGATAATTCAACTCATTTCAAAAAATACTTTATTTACTCCAAAAGGAAATTAAATGAAACTCAAATCATCTAAGGATCTTCAGAGTTTTGACCAGCAAGGATCTCCAGTAGCAGTCAGTCGTGCAGCAAATCAAAAGTAGCCTCTGACTGAAGACTGTTCTGATGCATTTATCCTTAGATTTTTAATGCTTCAGTGCATTGATTTTGAGTTTATGTTTTAATTGTTTAGTTCATTTAAATTCTAAATGGGTTGTCCATCAATAACTTGGTAAAACAGGTAAAAATATACATTTTAAAATGCAAACTTCATTTTTAAGCTGGAAATATTTGCTTTATTACTTAAGTGATTACATATGTTTACAAATGTGTTAAATATGACAAGATTAGAATAAATTTAAAAAGTATTTATAGATGTATTATCAGTATTTCTTTAGAGTGCACTTATACACACAGTGCAGAACTAAAAGCAACAAAGGTGCAGGTTATCTTAAAGCGAAATTAGGAAGGAACAACCTTTACAGCCAAACCTATAAACAAATTCACTTTAAGACAAACCAAGAGAAATGTTTGAATTGTTCAAATGTGATAAAATATGGAGGCAGAAACTAAAACTAGAGTCAAACATGATATACATTTTATAATCTGGTCTGAAGGCTTCAAAGTTCTCCAGGAAGTTTCTCTCTTTCCAGAAGAAAAATAATTGCATACAAAAATGGTTGGGGACGTATTATAATTATGCAAAACTCTGATTGTTCATGTTTTTGTATTTCAATTTGGTTTCTACCGCTTCTAAAATCAGAACAAGCACTTAACAAGAAGGAAAAGGTGGCTTTTGGCAATAAGTTGCTGTTTTTTTGGATCCCGGAAAGAAAAAGGTTTAAAAAACCTTTAGAATGAAACACAATTCAGTATTCACTGTGCCGTTACCTAGCAACCGCAGCAGAGTTCTGCCCGTTTCCTAGCAACCCAAACTGAGCTCAAGTACATTTGGTAAACTGGTTTTACCGCTGTTGTTGTTGGTTGTACAAGAGGCTCCACTTTTGCTTTTCAAATATGTACAGCTGCATTTGGTTGCAGCCATTTTCACATACGAGTGTAAATGTTGAGTTGGATGGCGTGGATTTACAGTGACAGGACATCCTAAAACAGCTCAAGCTGAAAAGACTAAAACTCATTATTATACAAGAATAATTTTTTTGCAAAAACATTTATAAACATGTTTAGTATAGACCATAGACCAATCGTAACCTCTTCAAGAAAGCAATAGGTACTTTTAAAACTTCATATAACTATTCCCATCATGTTTGTTGAGGGCCCAGAAGGTCAAGTGAAGATTTAATGGAAAAATCTTACATGACACAAATAACTCAAAACAGGAAATGAGGTCAGAGCAAAAGAAACCTAAATACAGGGCTGTGTGATGATAACTGGGGTGAACACAGCTGGGTCTAATAAGCAGAATACAGGTCAGTTGTGCGGGGGACATGAGGTTAAAATGTGAGAAAACTGGAGAAAAACGGCCGATAAAGGTCACAGGGAACCAGCGAAGTGTAAACCTCAAAGTATTAACAAAGATTCAAACCAGAAGGTGACAAAGAAATTCAAAAACAGGAAACAATTAAATACGGAGCTTAAGGGAGGCTTCGGAACAAAACCATGAGGAAAAACAAAGCAAGGAACTGTTAAAATATCCACTTATAAGTGTTTTACGAAGGGCTCTCAAGTATTTTTGTTCCTACCCCAGACAGTTGTTTTGCTATGTTTCTTGCTGGCAAATCTAATGATGCCAAAAAAAGAAGAAAGAAATACACAAATACAGGTATGTACATGTGAGTCTGTAGTTACTGAAAGCTGGAATAATCAAACCCACCTGCTGCCAAGGCCTGAAGCGTCCTTGTGGTTTTTGGTGATCCAGAAAAATTATGTTTCATTTAAATCAATGACGGCTGCGGGAATCGTTGACAAAAACTCAGTTTCTATTACGTATGTGCACAAAAATTTGTCAGTATTAAACTAATGTTGAAAAAATATATAGAATTTAGCAACTGTGATGTTTTCCATTAAGTAAGAGACGAAATTAAAATCACACGTGAAAAAATTCGTTCATTCAGTGAATCATTAAAAAACATCCTCCTGCCACTTCCTGCCTGAGTCTTTTCCCCCGGTAGTAACATCCGGTTGTGGATCACGTGACTTGCGTGATGCGGAAAAAACGTGCTAAAGACGCAATTTTGCGAAATACATGCAGCCGAAAAATATGACAGTTTATTAAGATTACTGGAGATAAAAAAAAATAGTAAATGAGGAAAAAGTGAGTAAAAAAAACTGAGGCAGAAACATCAATGTTTTTTCTAGGAAATTTCTGAAAGTAAAAAAATTGACCAGCTCAGAAAAGTTTTTTAAGCTTTTTACCTAGAAAATACATTTAATTAATCTCAAAATTTCAAAGTTTTTTTTTTTTTTTTTCAAATTTCTCAGTTTTTATGCCCAGGAAAAGTTTTGTTTTTTGTTTTCCAAGAAAAATTAATTCTAAGTTTTTTTGGAGAAATTTACTTCTCCTTTATTCTGTCTTATAAGACAATGCAGGTAGAAAAATCACCTCATCATAGCTAAACACAATTTTTATCCAAGTATGTGATTTTTTGTTGTTGTTGTTTGGCTTTTCCATTATGCAAATTTATTTTTATAATTCCTATTTGTGAAATTTTAATGTCAGTGGAAATGCAGCTAATGAAGCACACCTGAACCTCTTTTCACACTGGAATTTCAACTGGACTCTTTCTGTTATTACGTAACTAAGGAACCAAATAAAACATTTTTTATAAACTAATGGAGCAATAGTAATATAAAACCTGACTTTATGCTATTAATGTAGCACTTATAGTCCAAAAACAGAGAAAAAGCAAAATAGACCAATAAAAACAAAGAACTACATGATTATCAGCAAATCCACCTGGATTGCTTTATTTATTTTTTCTTTTACATCACCATTTTCATCATCATCATTGTCATTATTATTAATATTATTCTTTATTTTTCAGATATTTTCATCTTATTACTATCACTGGAATCATGGAAATATGTTAAATTGTTGCACAGTTTGTTCCTCAAAATGTACACATTTAGCGTATTTGAATGACAATTCTCAATGTTTTCATATTTACTCTTGAAACTCGTCCAAACGAAGCAAAGAACGAAACCAAACATGTACATACGTTTATCCAATACATACCTGAAGAAAATAAATAGTTATCGTAAAAAAAATAATAAAATACAACTGAAAAAAATACACACATCTTACAAATTTGATTCCCGCCCCCCAGATGCCCCGCCCAGCCACCCCAAACCCACCCTGTAGGTTTATCATACAGATATATATTTTTTTAACGACACCTCATATCATCTTCACTACCAAAAAAATGTTGTTTTTTTTTTTTTAGGTCATTGTCGTTATTGGACATGCATCGTAAACACAGAGGCTAAAGGTTTTGTTTTCTGGGCTTCGTAAGGCTGCCCTCTCTCCTCCACAGACAGCTTTTCCTTCCTGTTATGGCTTGTGTGTGCAGTAGAATGACCAACTTCTGTTCACATTTTTCTTTTTTTTTTGCTTGCCATCCTCTCGGATCGGCTGTTTTTGTCTCTCTGTCGGATCGGTCCTCATAAAAACTCCCAGTGGAAACTTCATAGTGACTTGGTGGGAGTCTTGGTTCTTACTGGGTAAAACTGGAGGCTACTGTCCAACTAGCATAGCATAGCATAGCATAGCATAGCATAGCTTTAAACTAAATCACTAGTTCTAAAACACAAGCAAAGAAAAACAGGAGAGTCCGAATAAGCTGCTGCTGGCTATAGCCCCCAACTCAACTTTTACACTCTCATATTAAAATGGCTGCAAACTGA